ATGTATATGTATATATGTATATGTGTGTATATATATATATATATATATATATAATGCACTGATAATTTTTCTATGCAATTACAATAAATGGAGACTGGAGGTTTCCGAATCAAAAACCGAATCAGTCACATAACACATTCATCAAAATGTCAAGATTCAATTGAATCACAAGATAAAACGTTTTGTGGTTTTCGGAAGAACTAAAGTAATACAGGTTTGGTACAACATGAGGGCGAGTAAATGATTTCTGATTGATTACAGTGATTACAGATGTTCATATTTTGGGTAATATTATCGTAAATGTCATATTTAAGAGTCCCACGAGGTTGTGTATGTGCTTATTAATTCTGTGAGCTGGTTCATCCCTATAGGGAAAACAAGCCCACAGATATCACAGATGTTAAATGAAAGCTTTTACTGCTGGTATATGATGCTGGTTGGCTTGGAAATGGCCTTTCATTACTGCCGAATAGCTCTTCTACACTTATCTTCCTTTGAACCATATTTTTATTGTCTGTGCTTACATTGTATTGTTTTACCTGATAAATATTATTGGTAATTTCACATGTCCCCTAATGTACAATGTATCCACTGGGGAACAGAAATGACCATAATACAGGGATATTCAAAGTCTGGCTCATCACAACAGTCTGGATTTGTAGGGCAATTTATTTGCGTTTCCATTTCTGCACTTCAACTGAGCATCACGACACCAGACAACAGAAAGCCAGCTATTCTAATGAACAAATCTGTCTAAACTGCAAGCCAGCGTGTCCATTATAATGCCGTGTAGACAGCCTTGCTGATTATAATTGTCTTCTTGTTTTGTTGCTTGTGTGCGGTGTAGACCGTGTAAAAGTTGTATTTAAAGGATATCACAAACTGACTACCAATTTATTTTTTTTAGAAAGCAAAGCACCAGAATATGCTAATTTTGTCATAAGTGATTAGTACCAAGTATCAGGTTGTTGTCGCATATTGAAACGGTCAAACCGTCCCATATAATGTTTTATACACACACACACACACGCACGCATATATATATATATATGTATATTAGGGATGGGCGATACCACTTATTTTGTTTTCGATACGATACCGATATTTTTCAAGGCAGTATCGTCGATATCGATACCGATACAATACTTCTGAACTAAACTTTTAAATATATGTGTATATATATGTATATATATATATATGTATGTGTATATGTATATATGTATATGTATATATGTATATGTGTGTATATATATATATATATATATATATATGTGTGTGTGTGTGTGTGTGTGTGTGTATATACTTATATAATACCTATCTATCTTTTAAAAAACAATATTTAAATATATTAGTGCGTATGTGATTTCTTTAGCAGAAACTCTTTTTCTTTTGCACTTTTGTCTTGATTTATCCTCATTCTCATTTTCAATTCTTGTGCATCTGTATTCTCAGTTAATTAACAGAACAACTGGACATATTTGGGGCACATATGACTGGAACATATGGCCAAAAAAGTGTTAGTTTCAGAATGATGAAGCAGAAAAGTTCTTGGAATAAATATTTGATGGGAAACCCAAGTTTCTGACCACTATGGTTCAGAATCCATTCTTTCAGTTTCGCAGTTCTGTGGGCCTTTGAAACAGAGGGGCCGAATGAGCGACATCAACGCTTAGTGGACTCTGCTGACGTCGGGCTGGCGTTTATTGGGCCTCTAGCTCTTCAGCTGTGCAGACACAGAATTTGTGGCAAAGTCCTGAGTCCGCACCTACAGTACTGTTCATCTGCCGTCATGGCATTTTTCAGAACTACACGAGGTTAAGGTAAAAACATTGACAGTTTATGTTGGTGTTTTTTCTGATACTTAAATTGATTGATTTGGACTGATTTTGGTGTGCTGAATAAACACAGGGTCTTCAGGGTTAATTTTGAGTGTGTCAGTGCAAAGGATCTTTTATTGTTTAGCACAGCTGCAGATTTTGACAGTCATATATGTCTTGTAAAAGGGCTTTGGAACAGAAGTGTTGTGAAATGTCTTGGTCCTGATGTTTGGGCACTCAACTCACCAGGGAAAAGCTGTGTTTTTAAAAGTCCTGCTGACTAACCTTTCAAATACAACTCGCATGTCATTTTCCCCTGTTCTCTTTTCCTCTAGCTGCGGGGTGCCCTCCCAGTCTCAAACGTTCATTTAGAAAAGACTGAAAAGAGAGAAAGGAAAAGGCTTTTTATTTCTCTGTAGTCCTGAGTCAATGCAAAAGCTCAAGACTGTGAACATTAATGTTTGTTGGTGAAGTTGTGGTGATAAAATTATCTTGATATGCTCAGCTATGCTTTTTTAATTAATACTTTTATTCAACCAGGATTATTCAACAAGTGACTTTTACATTGCTACAAAAGATTTCTATTTCAGATAAGTGTTGCTTATTTGAATTGTCTATTAATCAAAGAAACATGAAAGAAAATCTATCAGCTTTGGCATCAAAGGAATAAATACAATTTTAAAATATTCAAATACAGAAATTGTTATTTTGAATTGAAATAATATTTCACAATATTACTGTTTTTACTGTAATTTATATATGTAATTATGTATTATATATATGTGTGTGTGTGTGTGTGTGTGTGTGTGTATTATAATACATAATTACATATATATATAATACATAATTACATATGTAAATGTAATTATGTATTATATATATATGTGTGTGTGTGTGTATTATAATTTGTGTATAATACTTTCTTTTAAATGTCTTTTTAAATTACATTTTGTAAAAGTATTTTTAGACGAAAGGAGACTACAAAAGGACAACAAAAATCTGCTCATTTCCTTAATAGTGGTGTAACCTGTTGGTTAAAGATCCTGTTGGTTAAAGACCAAACAGTTGTAGGTTTATGAATGATCTCCACTGTAAGCCCAGGTTGTTCTAAAGGGACTCTCTGTAATACGTGTGCTGAGAATCACTGTGAATAATAGCTTCAGCTAAATGTCAAATTAGTCCTTTCATTTTGATTTGTTGTCTATATTTTGAGCATGATGAAAGTTTTTGATCATGCTCCATTATTGGAAGGTGTCAGGAACCACTAGTAAACAGCTGAGAACTGATTTAGTAAAACACACTCATGACATTTGTGACCCTGGACCACAAAACCAATCATAAGGGTCATTTTTGAAATTCAGATAATCTGAAAGCTGAATAAATAATCTTTCCATTGATGTATGGAATGTATAGGACAATATTTGGCCGAGATACAACTGAGGGTGCAAAAAATCAAAATACTGAGAAAATCGCCTTTAAAGTTGTCCAAATGAAGTTCTTAGCAATGGATATTACTAATCAAAAATTAGGTTTTGATATATTTATGGTAGGAAATTTACAAAATATCTTCATGGAACATGATCTTTACTTAATATCCTAATGATTTTTGGCATAAAAGAAAAATCGATAATTTTGACCCATACAATGTGTTTTTGGCTATTGCTACAAATATACCCGTGCTACTTATGACTGGTTTTGAGGTCCAGGGTCACATTTTATCTGACACCTTCAGGAATGCATATTAGAAAATTTTAAAAATAGGGAATGTAAAATTCTAAATTAATGTAGTAAATTGATTATTTTATATTTTGGATAAGTCTGACAGGAATTGTGTGATTAAATACATGGGTGTGAATGGAAGGAGAGGAAGGGTGTCAACCCACAGAAGAGGGAAAGAAGATAAAATGAGGAAAGTAAGTTGGAAAGTACTGGGTGGACTTTCCAGCAGGATCTCCCAAATGGCTCCCCTCTGAGACCACAGTTTGAGGATGTTCCCAGATGATCTAATGGCTGCAAAACATTGTCAAATCTTATAATTGTAATACATTTGCTTTGAAGAGCAAAACGTTGTTAAATACAAGCAACCTAAAAAGAAAATTCTGTCATTATTTTGTGTTCCAAAGAGAGAAAAGAAAAAAAAATATGATATGAAAGAATTTTCTTTTTTGGGAGACCTGTCCCTTTAAATTAGCGATTAACTTAAAGATCCTTCGTAAATGACTTGCAACATTCATACAATCAAGCTAGTCTCCAGTCTTTAAAAAGTTAAACATTTCTTTTTTTTGACAAGCTGAGATTGTTATTTGAGGGCAGTGTTCTGTTCCCGTTTCATGACACATGACCAGAAACAAGTCGGCGATATCAGCAGTCTTACAATTCAACAGTATTGCACACACAAGTCACACGTGCTTTTTTAGAAACATTGCACATGCAACCACATTTTTGTCGAGCTTGCAAGTTCAGCATGAATATGTACGGTCAACATTTATCTACAGAATATAGTGATTTTCAACCAAAACTCGCATGAAAATATAAATTGTATAAAGTGGTGATTTGTATAAGTTCAAATGGGAGTTTTCACAGTGATTCCATAGATGAACCATTTTGGGTTCCCAAAAGAACCTTTCCGTGAAAGAACCTTCTTAAAAGAACCATTTTTTCACACACCTTTTTCCACTATAAAGAACCTTTAAAGGTTCTTCATGCAACCATCGATTATAAAGAACCTTTATTTTTGAGAATGAAGGTCCACCCATAACCCTGTCCCTCAACATAACCGTCACTGGGGCGTAAGCAGATTGTATGAAAGCATCCAAATAGATTGTACAGATTAGACACAAATTTGCCAGAACATTTTTACAAATTGCCATGATATCGTGTTGCGATTTTCATCATGAAAGACATTTCTTGTAATATAAGTATTTAAAATGCCTCTATGAACAAGCAATTACCGTAGAAACAACCACACAAATGCAAAATGCACTGATGCAAAAGCACCAATCTGGGAGCATGAGGGTTTCAGAGGGTCTCAACCTAGCACAATGCACGTGTCTGCAGGCGTACATTTATAGATGGGGGTGGGTGATCTCGTGATTCTCCATGAGTAAACATATACATGCCCTTCAAAACCACGCGTGGCTCAGATGCCCGAGATGGTTGAGCTCTGACTAAACTGCCCTCTGTGCTTGTGGGAGTGAGTGGGGAGGTGTTCTGGGAGGTGCGGATGAGCTTGTGCTTATGTCTATGTAAATTATTCTCCACCAAAGCATTTCAGCGCCACAGCAGAGACTTCAGTGTCATAGACACAGAAAGCCCTGGATGGTAAAGTGGCAGTGAGTACGAAGAGAGAGAGAGAAGGAGGAGAGACAATACGAGGAGAGAAGTCAGTGAGTGAGATTGCCAGACCAGCGCACAGTGGAGCAGAGAGCAGCGTTGTGGAGGTCTTTGCTTTGGAATCTGTCGGACAGCAAAATTCATGATAAAGACACGTGTTACATTAAGTATCATCATTTCAACAAGTTCTGCTTTCGCACAAAAGGGGAAGTAGCTTGTGTTTACTCTCGTCGCTCACAGGGACTTACTTCTCACAATCGCACTTTCATATTCAAAGTGAAACGGGGACAGTTGAGATATGGGGACGGTGAGCGAACTCTGTGCGTCCAGCTTCCAGGCGTTCTTGTGTCCCACTGTTTGCCCGGCTCCTCCAGCAGGTGGGTCTGTTATTATGTGCATGTGCTGAAACAAAGCTGGTGTAGGATTTCCTTTGAAACAATTTTCATTCAGAAATTGATAGTGAATTTCACAGCAAGTAACACATTGAATTAAATGTGACATTTTGAAGTAGAATGACTGAAATTGTATTTACTCCAATAATCTTTGCTTTATTTACAACTTTAAAGAGTCATTTTTACAGTGAAATCTGGGACTTTTTCAGACTGTTTAAAGGGGTCATGAAATGCATGTTCAGATCTTTATATTATGAAGGTTAGTTTGGAGGCTAGCTTATAAAGTTTTTTTCACCAAAAAGTTCAGATGCAAAAGCCTCTAAGTGCCGTTTGAAATTTTCTTCTAAAATGAGCATCTTTATCAGGCTCCTATGTGTAGGTTCAGTCATTTCACTTTAATGGCAATGAATAGATTCTTTTCATTGCCATTAAAGTGAAATAACTGAACATAAACATAGGAGCCTGAGAAAAATGCACATTTTAGAAGACATTTCAAACGGCACTTAGAGGCTTTTGCATCTGAACGCTTCAAATATTTGTAAAAATTGTCATTCTCTGTCAAACACACTCGCCGAAAGCCTTCATACAGGGCAGAGTGCTGTCATACAGTGCCTTTGCGCTATGGGCATCCCGAGTTCGAATCCTGACTTAAGGACCTTTCCTGATCCCGCCCCCTACCTCTCTCCCACTTCACTTCCTGTCAGTTGTGATCTGTCCTATTGTAATAAAGGCGAAAATGCCAAAAAAAAAGCTCTGTTTTGAGGGACGTAAAGTCTTTCAGAAACGCAAGTAAACGCCCACTGCTGAGACTGGTGAACTTCACCTCTATGTATCCACACTCTTCACACAATATATTAACATTCAACTCATTAAAACATTAATTGATACACTTGGCGTCTTAATAGCAGTATATGCTGGCTTGATGTTTATTCCAAATACAATTAAATATTATAAATAAATGTATTTTCTTAGATTTCTACACAAAGATAGTTGAAAAAACAAGCAGCATGTTGCACATAATTAAGAAAACATTCCAAAATAAACTTCAGCCATGTGTATCCAACAATTTGATCTTTCAAATAAATCTGCACAGTTTTTAGAGGTGCAGTTTGTCTACATTCAGGGACAGAACAACTCCTGACAGTCTTTCTAGACATTCCCTCACAGCAGTATCAGTCTTGTGATTGAACGATAGAGAGGAGTTTTTAAGAGCACACCTCCTTGATTTACAGTACATATGAATGTTAAAGGGTGTGTAGAGGAAAATCGTCACGATTTCAAATCATAAAAAATCACATTTTAACCTGGGGAGTTACCTTTGAGGAATGAAGCACACAACATTTTTATTTCCATTTCATGACCCCTTAAGTGATGCACCCATAATGCTGGAACCATTTGAGATCTGAGTAAAATCACGTGCAGCTGTGTGTTATATCAATCTAGTGTTGTTGCCGTGGTGATAAACAGTGTCCCTGGATCATAGAAGTGTTGGATGAGAAACGGAGCTGCCGTCATGGTCATGCAATGTGAGACAAATCATTTGTTTTGTTGATAGAAAGTTGCTGGGCTGTTAGAATGAATGGTTTTGATATAATTACTGTTGGAACACTAATAATAGAGTCACCATATGATGATCGTGACATGTCCACCTGTTGCCAACTGACCTTCAGTCATGTCCTCTCTATATATACTGTATATCTATAGTAATATGATCAGGTTTCACTGTGGATTTCGCCTGCACTGTTCTTTGTGTGCTGAGTCCTGCATGCTTCTGTTTATTTGTTGGTTTTAGCGCTCTCTGCGGGTTTATGCGTGTTTGTTGCTCATCAGTGAGGTTTTGTGTGAATTAAGTGTTAGAGCTACTGAGACAATCACTAGGTGAGAACGAAATGGAGAAACTCTGTGAGAGAGAGACAGATGAAGGGGTGGGACTGGTGAAGATCCTATTCTGGGTTAATTTTGTTTTTTACATCATAAGAAAAAAAATCAGTGACGGGTGTAGATCTGTGGCTTTTTATGTTGGATGGATTTTCTCAGTTTTCTTCTTGCCATCTGTCAGAATTCAATGACAAAATCCCCTAATGGCCCTCAAAAGATGCAGATTTGAAAACACAAATGCCTGTTTGGATCGACTTAATGGTTGGTGGTTCATTGCTCAAGATGCTTAATGGAGTTCTCACTTGTGTTTCCTGCAAGTATCAACTTTGTCTCAGATGTTTCTCCTACAATAGATACAAATGAGGCTATTGGTGCCATAAAGTAAACCCCCAGGCACACCAACAACCATAACTATAAAGATAACTATTAGTGTCCACACCAATGGATGATAACATGTTTATTGTATTATATAATGTCGTTACTTTAAATGCTTGTCAGATGGATTCTGATTGGCTCAATGTTTTTATAATACATCAGCTGAAAATATTGTAAAAGTGATTCAAACAATATTGTCCTCTGTGTCAGTATTATCAGTTATGGTGTAGACTTCTCTATTCTCACAGAATTATATTTATAGTTACAGTTATCACTGATGTGAACAGTATTTAAGAATATATAGCTGTAAAATAACTTCTAGATAGTATAGTTCATATTTGTTGGTCGTTTTGAATCATTTGGAAAGTTCTGATAAATGTTCATATTGAAAATGTTTGTGTTCAGATTGAGAAATTGTTCAGATCTTTGTTGAAATAATTTTACATCTGTGTTTTTCTTTCCTATTGGCTGAGACATGACATAGTCAACGCTATCTCACAGCCAATTTGTACGTATTTTACAAGGTGGCTAATTCATATGAATTCATACGACCTCACTCGTATGATTTTGTACGATTTCTGTGACTGTTAAGTATAGGGCCGGGGTTAAGTGTGGTCCTTCGTACGAATTCCTACGAATTTGCCACCTCGTAAAATACATACGATTTCTCACAAAATTTTTACATTTTTGACAAGATGGCTAATTCGTGCGAATTTGCATGACCTCACTCATACGAATTAGCCACCTTGTCAAGTATGTACGAATTGCCGTGAGATCAGGTTGGGCATAGTGGGTTGTGCATGTGCTGGTGGCACTCGAGAGCTGTTTTGGGCTGCAGGTTTGAGTCTGGCCTACAAAATGTATCTTGATCGTCCTGTAGTTGAAGCCCCAAAAATAAAAAGATTGATGCAAACAAAAGATTACAGTTATAGACTGTATGAAGTAGTGTTTGTGTTTACATATTTAGTAACTTGGGCCTTCCCCATCAATATCACTATTTTTTTTGGATTTGATAGATGGAAACTGACCATAAATCAGTGCACTGTATTATATGTGTTCTTATATTGTTAAATGTACCCCAGTAATGATGCAGTGAATGAACAACACATTAGCTATAATTAGAGATGTAATGACAGATAATAGATTTCTATTCTTACGCTATTCTGTTCGGAGAATATTTTCTTAACTTGTGCTGTGTGCACTATTTGACCTGGTCATTCTTCACCCCTGAGGGAGTTTACATCACACTGTCTGGCTTGTGTTAGTACCCAACCCATTCCCTCCACACAGACACATACACACAACATAGCAAATTTTGGACACTACAAAGACACTTTTCCTGGTTTTATGTCACGCTCATCAGAATAATATCAACTGATCATCACTGGTAAGGTATTTATTTTACTATTTACACTAAAACTATAATGTAACTGCAGTAGTGTTCCAAGAGTGATTTGAGCACTGGGATTTTTCACTGTTTGTATCAGTCCGGTTGTCTGTGTTTGCGTGATCCAGACAGACTGTCAGTCTGTGTATTAGTGGTTTGGATTTTTCAGTGACTCTTTCTGCAGATTACATAGTTATGCAAGTAAGTGTTTAAGTGAGCCAATGAATCATTCACTCAACCAAATCATTCAAAAACACTGATTCATAGGAACAAAATATTGTTACTTTGTGCTGTTCAGATACTTTATTTGTTATTTGCTTTACCAAGCTGTTTTTGCTTGGTAGAGCAATATTTACAATATTGTACATAAAATGTAAATTACTCAATGGTAACTTCTTATATATTGCATATTGAACTGTGCTAAATATAGATACATTCACTAAAGCCATGCCCTAGTTTCTTTGTTATACATTTGAAAGAATGTATTTGATTAATTTGGGTAAGGAACCACAATTAAGAGTCTGTCATACAGAAACTGTGACTTCTTTTTCTTTGTAAAAATATATGCATGATGTGATTCCATTTTAGCAAGTCATTTGTCATTACCAAATAACTTTTTTTTCTTAAAAAATGGACAGAGTGCATTCTTTTGCATGCTCTTTCATTTCTCCAAAAGGGAAGTCAGTTACTTTGAGTATATTAAGGGCTGTTCCCATAATGACATTTGAGAATCAAAAAGACGAATATGTGTGTCAAGCTGCTCTCCTGTTCAGCACAGACTGACATATTCAGTTCAATTCAATTTGATTTATGTAGCACTTTTAGAATTCATAATACGTATTGTTTTAAAGCCGCTTTACAAAAAGTGTATGTTTTCCATGAAACATTCTGTTAACTGCTCAGAGAGGAGTGTCAGAGTAATATCCATATGGCAGTATTATACAGATATAAGATTATACAGTGAAGCAGACAGACATAATGAATAAGTTAGACTATAGCTTGTGACCATAATAATTACAATAGAAGACTGTATTTCATTAGACATTTCACTCTTGGCTGATCATTATCTTAACAAATAGCTTCACATATTAAAACTACTATTGTGTTTTATCATTAGTTAAAAATACAATATTGAATAAGAAAGGGGAGAGGAGTCCATCTGAAAGACTAAAGTCAAAGTGACCGATTCTTGGAACACATCGGTATTTTTTTCTTCCACAGGAGGAAGGTGCAATTGAGAGGCCCATTATATGTACCACCCAAAGCTTTTTACTGTAAAAGTGCTGGTGTGAGAGTCTATCTGTGTGTGCTGAGAAATCAGGCTGTGCAAAAAAGCTTTAAGTGA